ATTCACAGCTGAACACCATCTTGAGCTACAGTAAGAGGTTTCGAAGTAACTTACAACAAGATGTGGGTAATATGCATTTCCCAGAAGAGCCGCGAACAAAACCTGGAGCGCACTGACACTTTGGAGGACCACACGCTATAGCTACACAAGTCTATTCGAATGCCAAAATACAGTTGTTTAAGGAAAAATAGTTACTGGTTTTGGTTCAAGGCATGTCGGTTCACACGGTGCTGAACAATTAGAAAAGACTTCTCCAACTTGGCATACAGGATTCACAGCTGAACACCATCTTGAGCTACAGTAATAGTTTTCAAAGAAACTCACAACAAGATGTTGGTGTTACGCATTTCCCAGAGGAGTTGCGAACAAGACCTGCAGCGCATTGGCACTTCGCTGGACCACATGAAGCGATACAAATCTATTCAAAAGCGAAAATACAACTGTTTAGGATAAGAATGTTACTGGGTTCGGATTTTGACATGTTGGTTCACACTTTGTGGAACAAGTAGAAAAGACTTCTCCAACCTGGCATACAGGAGGACCAGCTGAACATGATTTTCATCAGTTACAGTATACGAGTTATGGCAGGAACTCACAACAAGATGTTACTGCTATGCATTTCCCACTAGTATTGTCACGAACGAAACCTGGAGCACATTGGCACTTCGCGGGACCACATTCTTTAGAACATTTCTATGAAGAATTCAAAATACAAATTTTTCGAGTTGAATATTACTGGATACGGATTTTCACATGTTGGCTCACATGCAGACGCACATTGCTGCCAAACTTCTGTGGCTCCACAGACGGAAACGGGGATTGAAGTAGAAGAGCATAGCCCAACGAAGATGAGAAAAATCTGGAAGCAATGATGTATGAGAGAGTTGTATATGATTCGGCGTTAGGTGAATTCAACTCACCAATGCAGCGGATTTCATTTTCTCTTCTGGATCGTATATTGGTTCACCGAGGGAACTCCTTAAATACGGAGAACTCCGATAAGGATTTGGAGCGAAACAATGCTTACAACTCAAAAATATTTATTCAAACATGATTACGTT